AATAGTTATCAAACAAATTGTAAAAAATATATATTATAAAACAATTAAAAAATTAAATTTTATTTACGTACTGATTATTTTCTTTCTTTATATTCAATTTGATTAATAATTTGTATCAAAAATTTGTTTTCTATAAACTTTTCATCGTAAAATAGCCGTAGTTAATGTTTTAGTAAATTTTTTTTTACTAAAATTTAATTTGATGTTTAATTTTTGTTATTAGAAACAAAGAAATTGGGTATAAAAGAGAGGTGAGTAGGTTAGGTTTTAAAAATCTACAACCAAAAACCTATTGTTACATTCTGTATATGTCTTATCTACATATACAAGCCCGTATTTGTCACATGTTCCACAATCCAATGACGGTATATAAAAATAATTATTTTTACGTGTCCTGAAAACAATATTTTTAATTATGTACTCTAAACCATCGTGATATCGATTGACTGTACACCGTACAATTAACAATTAGTTATTGTTTTGATCCATTTAATATAGTAGATTGAAAACAATTTTAAACTTCTATGAGAAATACTCTTTACTTTTGTTTTTTTTTCTTTATAAAATTAATTGTTTTTAAGTTGGGTTCACAAATTTTTTCGATCCATTTATGTATTTATAAAAAAAAAAAAATTCATTAACAACACACATTTGTTAAAATTTTCCATTAAACATTTATCATTATTTCGATAAGTTATGATTACTCTGTCGAGAATATATATAAGTTGAAAAAAGAAAGAAAAAATTTTAGCTAAATTTAAATATGAGTTCATAATCCGTACTTATAACTTTCCCCGGATATATTCATGCGATTATAGTGTTTGTTAACTCGATTACTTTCGCTGTACTGTATGTATACATGCACCAGTAATTATGATAATGGTGTAAGATAAAAAAAATATTACACTTATTGATATTATTAAAAAAAAAAAAAAGAAAATTAAAACAGAATGAATTTTTTTCAAATTTTTCCATTAGTTGTTAATCAATTGTCATAATTCCTGAAAACACGAAGGACTATGGTATTTAAAAATAGGATTTAAATAATTCTCCATATAATAACGTCAACCTAATGCTATGACGTTAATAGTATGAAATTTTGTTTTGGTATAAAAAAATTCTTATAAATAATATTTTTTTTTATTCTAACTTTAAGATAACGTTTTTTTTTTTATTTCTCGTTATATTCTCGATGATATATATACATATTTTTTTTGTTGTCTTCCTACAACCAACGTCTCGATAGAATTTCGGAATTTTGAAATTTCGAATATGAGAATAAAATGAATCTCTCCTGATTAAATCGTGCCACGTTTGGTAAACATGAATATGACATCATCACTTTTAGCGTTTACCGATTAAATTCCAGTTATAATTTTAATCTTAAATCTATTATTACGTATAATTTACAAAATAACTTACCATCGTGATTCCCCATTGGTTATATTATTATTATTATTATTATTATTATTGTTATTATTATTATTATTATTATTATTATTATCGTTAATGTTGATCGATCTTGGCATGCACGCAAAAAGGAAACATTCGATCCAACGTGCGTAACGATCGAACGTGATCTTTCAATAAGGAAATGTAAAACGCGTTTCGTGACGTGTCACAAACAACGGTGTTCGTACTAGTAATATTAAGAGGAAAGTTCCATTAAAATAGTACCTCATTTCCTTTTCCTTTTCTTTTCCTTTTCTTTCTTTTTTTACACCTCCTATAACTGGATTTTTGTACGATTAAGCGATTCCCAGAAAAATGGCGACCATAAATAAAAAATTTTGTTGAAAATTTTGAATTTGTTGAAAAAACAAAAAAATAAAATAAAATAAAATAAAATTGATAGGTAAAGGTTGCAAAAGTTCTGAGAAAATAACATACGTACGAACAAACAAGATTTTTGATTATTAAAAATACACCAATTTGTTTCTAAGTATAGATATAATATATAATATATATATATATATATATATATATATATATATATATATATATATATATCTGTGCTAGGTATGTGCGATAAATTTGATTAAATTATATATTAAATTATATTAATTATTTATTTTTTTTATGTAATAATATAAATATTTATATTAGATTGAAAAATTGATGTAAAAAGTACCGTATTAATGGCGGTTCTGTTTTTGTTTTGTCATGGCACATTTGAAAATATAAACAAGTGGGGAACATAAACGATTTCTTCTCCAACTTTCTTCTTGACCGTATACCCATGCATTTATTAACAAGAAATACAAAAAAAAAAAAACAAGAAAAAAGAGAAAGAGAAGTACAGATAATCTCGAATATTACGTAAGATTATGTTTCAACGGGAATAATTCACGTGATTTAGGTATGTACATAACTTTACTATTTCGTAATAGTTATCCACGACGATGACTATCAGAAATGATGATAGTTGTCTATTTATTAGCACAATTAGAATTTTTTTCACCTTTCAATTGTAATATTTGGAAATCAATTATATTTTTCACAATGGTATTAATAGATAAATTTTAGTAATTTTTATGAACACTTAAAAAACGATATCTTTCTTTTTTTTCTTTTTTTTTTTCATCGTAATCATTTATAATGTTAATTACATTGTTTATCAATGTAATCATTAATATTTATTATTAAACGAGAGAAGAGAAAGAAGAAGAAGAAGAAAAAGAAGAAGGAATAAGAATCAAATGCTATCGATCGTACGTTAAAAATGGTCGTGTTCGTTGCTTTACGAGGTCGTTAACGTTCCAACGCGAAAAATTTATTCTCAATGAGGAAAGATTTCTTGCTTTTTTGATCTTTAAACTTTGCCTATACTTTTGACACACGTGGAACCTGTCTTTTTAATCATCGTAAAATATAAGGTATACATAAATTGTATAATCATAGCAATCCAATGATCCAATGAGTGACCTGGTTAAAATATATTCCTTTTTTTTTTTAATTTTTTTTTTTAAACATATTTTTCCTTAGATCACCTTCTACTTTTTATCTTCTTTTTTTTAAATTGCTATTCGCATTGTATATTTTATATAGTTCTTTTAATTTAAATTACGAATTGAGATCATTCTATTGGTGGACGTTTTATGAATGACTGACCTGGTTAAAATTAGTATACTTTATTTTTTATTGCATATATAATTTTTCTTATATCTATTTTATTTTAAATTGCTATTTGCATTGTATTATATATATATACTTTTTTAAATTTTATTTATTTTAAATACTAATTGAGATTATTCTATTGGTGAGAGTTTTACGAATGATTGACCTGGTTAAAAAATTTTTTTACTTTGTTTTTTATTGTAAATATAATTTTTTTTTATTTTATCAGCACATTCTTTTTATATTCTTTTTTTTTTTAAATTGCTATTCTCCTTGTATTTTTATTACTCTCTCTCTTTTCCCTCTATCTTTATTTTTTATATTTCATTGATTTATTTATAATTCAAATTGTGAGATCAATCTCTATAGAGGTGCACGTTCTTAATTAGATCGAACGAGATGTAATGGTTGGATATTCGTTCGGGGAGAGAAACCGCGAAACTCTCGACGGTCCACAAATTCAAGGATTTGTGCCAGGGTCTGCTTCGAGTAGTATAATATGTGATGGTTTAAAAGCACGCAAACACGGTTTTATCGACGTGATTTATAGTTTCCATCACGGTAGGGAAAAGATTGAAAATATTCGTCACAAAAATTCAAGAGTAGATCGAACTCGATAAATTACTTTCTCTCTCTCTCTCTCTCTCTCTCTCTCTCTCTGTTGTATAGCAATCATTTTCTACTTCTTGTTTTTTATTTAATTTATTTTAATCGCAAATATTTTAGAAGTTTTTAAAGATTTTTTCGTAAGATACTAAAGAATGAAATATGTTAATAGCTTGTATTTATTCGTATTAACGATTTAATATATATTGGTTTTGATATATTTAATATTATTCTATCGTAAATTATCGTCTCACGAAATCGTAATATTATATTCGTTAGATAAATCATTTATTGCAATAGATAGGGATCGATCTAACGACATTTTCAAAGTCATTTTTCAATTATTATCGTGATATCATCGTTTATTAATAAATACCTTAATGGCAAATGGTCTTTTAAAATTTAACGGGGGCCCGAACGAAAATAGTAATCATTTACGCAACGATATAAATTATTACCGTTATTGATGATTTTACAATTCAAACGTCGTTCATATATATATATTTTACTTTATTTAATTTCATTGGTATGTGGTAGAATGGGGGAGGGAAAAGGGGATTTTCTTTCGAAATTTGAAATAAAAAACACTATTTCGATGATTTTACCTCTCGAAGATATCGTTCGATATCTCGAAGGAATTTTTGAAAGTTAGATTTTATCTACTTATAGATATGTATTTTTGACATGATATTACATGCATATCTACTTTGTTCTTTCTTTTTTTTTTTATTAAAGAGATCACACTTATCGTCCACTCGAAATATTTTTGTTTCCTAATGAAATTAGAAGCAAACACTTAAAAAGATAATTGTGCACGATTGGAATTCTTTAAAAAAAAAAGTAGCCCACGATAAAATAACAGAGATGAATTTTTTTTTTACGTGACGATGATTATTACGTGACGATTTTTTATTTTTCTCTGTTTAATTCGTTTCCTCGTTACGTTTTAATCTAAAATCTAAAACGATCACGTCTATGTAAGTATCTTTTTCGAGCTTTAAAACAAAACAAAAAAGAAAAATAAAAGGAAAAGGAATTTTTCTTCGCGATAACGTTTGACCAATGGACGCCATTTTAACGTATGGATTTGAAATGAAAAAAATGGAGGACGCCAGTCGTCGTTGTTTGTATTGTTGTTGTGTTTCTTTTTTCTTGATCATTTTTTGAGGATTGCAATATTATACATATGTTAAAATACATATATACATATTCAAAATGTATAATAGGGTCACGGTGTTTTAACATTTACCATATATTTTTCGTTTTATTTTCTCAAGGTCTTTCAAAGGCAGGAAGTGAGAATCAACAACCAACGAATTAACGACGACGACGACGACGACGACGACGACGACGACGATAACTTTGAAGTTACAAACGAGAAATCAACAGGAAGATGTCTCGTGTTCATCACTGTTTACTCTGGATCGTTAATGCTTATCATAAAGCCTAATTCTTTCGCACACACGGTGAGTAGGTAACACCGACAATTTTCTTTTATCAAATTTTTTATTTAATCCAACAACGTTTCGTATTACAAAACCTAAGCGCGATATAATAATCCAAAATCTTTGCGTTGTTTCGATGTAATAATTTTTTTATCAAAAAATTATTCTTCCATTTTTTTGGTCATTTTTGTTTGAGAAACGAATCATAATTTGAATTGAAACATCCATTAAACAACCCGTCGTTCACCGATTTTTTTATTTTTATCGTAATAAAACATTTTTATTGGCAATAATAATTTCTTTCATCATTTTTTTTTCTTTTTTAATCTTCGTATTCGTCTGTAATCAATTGGTGGGAATGGGGAAGGGGTTTAAAACGAACAATATGATTTTTTTTTTTGTAACGAAACCGATCATAATAATTGTTATGTTAGATTTATTAATTATCCGAAAGGTATCAACGATTCTTTAATTAATGTAATAATTCGATAGATAAATAGATAGATAAACAGATCGTCGTGCATACCGGAAAAGATAAAAGCAAAGAAATGGAAAAAAAAGAGAAAAAGAGAGAAAAAGGGGATTTGAAATTTCGTGTGCGCACGGAAGAGCCCGCATGAAAAAGAAAACCGATACGATTTGAAAGTTTTCTGTTTACATGTTATATTAGATAAAGAAACGAGGAAGGAAAGCCAAAGTTAAAAATGCTAATTGATTCTTCCTAGATAAAGAAAAAAAAATAATTAATACTAATAAATATTCTTCCTAGCGTAAAAACAAATTGATGTATCGATTGTCGATAATTATATCAAATGATTCAAAAAAAAAGCTAATAGCTAATTATCGCGTCGCAAAATTAAAATGGAAAGCAAAAAAAGAAGAAAATTTTTGTACCGAAAAAAACATTTCGGTACATATTTACTTCAAATCCTTTATTTCTCAAAATTTTATTTATTGAATAATCGACTCGTTGCAAATTATTTTGCCCAAAAAATTGGTGAAGAAGGGTGATTGCGGAGAAGGGAGAAAGGAAGGGAAAGGAAACAATAAACGAATATTCGTATAATTATTCTTTATCATCCCTTAACGAAATAATTTGATACAAATATTTATTGTTCTCTTATTCGATAAAAATTCTCAAATTCCCATAATTTCGGTTCAACGACTATCTCTTGTGGCAACTGTTAAAAAAACTATGAAAAATCTTACAAACCTTTATGTTTTTCTAAGAATAACGATTCTAAGATCTAACCACTCAGAAAATTATCATCCTTCGGAAAATCATCCAAACAATTCGAATAAATTGAAATACTATTGGACAAATTAATAGGGAGGAGGAAAATACATCTCTCGAAAAACCAAACTCTCTTGTCTCTCCGGCTATGTTAGTAGTGCATTGGCCTTGACACGTGCGTCATCTTTTTTTTACAAAGAGATTTCAACGCCCGAACATTTCATACACATCTGCTTTAAATTTGTACGTTTGACGTTATTCTTACGTCTTACTCTTACTATAACCACGTGCGTTTGTAGTTGTAAAAGAATACAACACAATATAGATACGCGTATGTCTATAAGTAAGTCGATACATAAAGATAGAATATTCGTATATATATAAGTATCATATATATGTATGTATTTACATTACGCATATACGTATGGTTTGCTTGAGCACACTTGATTAGCGAGCTTGGTTTGATATTTTTAGAATAGCCGTTTTGTTCGTAACGCTATGCGAATCGTACCTAACTCTTTCGAATAACATTTATCGATATTCTCTTAACAGAAATACATGTATTACATTAACTATTAATAATTATTGATATAACCATTTTTGTTAACGAGCTATATAAGCATATATATATGCTTAAATCATTTGCTTCGTTAATTAATCAATTTGTAATACTGATTTATAATTGATTTATTTTATTATTAAATTATTATTTTAAAATAATTAATAGTGATGGTAGTAATAGTAGTAATAGTATTAGTAGTTGTAATAGTGGTTTTATTGTGTTTGATTTTTATAATTAAAATGAAATGAATGAAATTATAATGAAAATGAAATACCATTTTTATATTATTTAATAATTTAAAATGATAATGAAAAATAGTTTTTTTTAAGTAAACCCCGATAATTTTGTTCTTCTATTTTTTTCGAAATATAAAATAAAGTAAATGTATTTGTAGATGTTAACACGCGTGTTAGAATTAAAAGGATAAAAAAAAAGTCGAAAACATTGACGTACTTACGATTTACGATACCATTTATGGTTTGACAAATTGTCTATAAAAAGGTATGCTAAATCCGTTAGTAGACATCATGAAAAAAAAGAAAAGAAAAAAAAAGAAAAAACTTATTGTTAGAAACACCAGATGATTTATGCGTTTGATTTCCTCTTTCATGCAATTTTTACACCGATTTTTTAACGTAAGCTTGACACACCTTATTTTTTTTTGTCAATACTATTGGTTCTTGAAATATATATATATATAAGACGATTAGTAGTAATGTTCGCCAAGGTGGAAAAGGATTACGCGTTTACCATTAACATTGATAAGACGAATAAAATTAGTAAAATAAATAATAACAGACGATAAGAAAAAAAATGCGTGTACAAACAATGACGATAAAAATAATATTAAACGATATTATTACAGTAATTGATCGTAATATAATAATAAAATATTTGACACGTTTCAACAATTTTTTTACTTCTTTTTTTCTCTTTTATCAGTGTTATGCTCACGATATATTTTTTTCTCTTCTTTTTTTTTATTTTATTTCATTTTTATTCTTATTTCTACAAATAGATACTATTGAAACGACTTGATGTAATGAAATTTAAAAAAATAAAATAAAATAATGTTTACCCGAAATAATGTAGTAGTAGTTTCAAAAACAAGGAAAAAAATGTAAATGAATTCTTATAAATGTCAATGTTGATAATAATGAATACCTATTATTAGCTAGTTTAATTTAAGTTTTAAAATGTGACTCATCAGGATGATAATTTTACATATTTTTCTATACTTTGTATTTTCGGAAAATTGATTATCGTTGATAGTAGTTATCATTTTCTCGATGATTGGTTCTCTTTCATTCTTTGTGTACAAGCCATGGCACGTTCTCGTGTCACTATTCTTTCAATTTGAAAATTTGATTCGCTGCCAAATGGTGTGAAGCAATTATGTGAAGAAAAGGGGTGAGGGGAGGGAAGGTCGACATTGCATGCAGCATAATAGAAGAAAATGATATACTTAAAATAAAATAAAATTAAATAAAATTAAAAAAGAAAAAGAAAAAGAAATTTAAAAGTATGAATAATTTTTATTTTCCCAATAATAATTTTGTTTTCAATTAAAATTAAATTTAATTAAAATTAAAATTAATTGATCATTCGATTTTTAAACGTAAATTTTTACGAAATTCAAATTAGATTTCATTTACTTGTGCGTACAAAATTTTGTCAATAATTGTGATAACTGTTAAATATTAAAAGAAGAAAAACATTATTTTTTTTAAAATTCATTTCATCGTTTTTAATATTTAATAGGAATAATTATTTCTATTAATCATCACCTATTATTATCACATAACGTCAATTGAATTTTGTTCATTTAGATATTCGTTCGTTAATTCGATACCAGTGTTGTTATTTGAAAAAGGTAATAATTTTTTTTGAAATTATTTTTCATTTTTCATTGACTTTAATAAATTTCTGTTTGATCTTTCCATTTGTTTGTTTGTTTTTGGTCCTGATTTTAGCATCGTTTTTCCTTTTATTTATTTTTATCTTTTTTTTTTGTTTGTTCAATTAAAGAGAAGAAAAGAAGAAGAGATAAAAAGAGTTGACAGGTCGTCTTTATAAAAACATATTATTTATACTTAAAATATATTTTTATATTCAGATCTCGGAATAAGTAGTAATATTTTGGGAATGACTGTAGCATATCTAAATAATAAAAAAAAATGTTCGTATAAACACGTGTCCTACATTTGACCTTTATTTTTGAATTATTATAACGAATTTTGTATTGTGATTATTTTTTTTTTAGTTAAATTAATGAAACATTTGGATATAGAAACAGGTTTAACGAAGTTATGAAAATTATTTGTAATATTTTTTGTTTTTCTTTTTGTTTTCATAAAAGTATCCGCATAAAATTTGAATATAATATCCGTTATAATTGGAAAATTTGATCAAATTGAATCAAAGTTCCGTAATAAAATATTTTCTGTCTATTTTGGGACATCCTATATATGTTACGACGTACCCGCATCTTCCTTTTGTGAATTAAATTTTCTTCACGGAAATATACGCGAACGTAATTTGTACAACAGGGGTAACAAAAATTCTCCGTAAGTTGAGAAATATTATTCTCTTAAGCAATGTCTTCAAACTTCGTTTATTATATTCCATTTTTAATTTAGTTATTTATTTAATTAATTAATTAGATTTAAATGATGTTTTGATTAACTCCGTTGTTCTTTCAACCCGTCCTAGATAACAAATAATTCATATTGGATATTATGGCAAATGTTTTTTTTTTTATGAACGAATAAACAAAAAACAACGTTTGGAAATTTTTCCATCGTAAATTAATAACGAAAGAGACGATCAATTATGAGTAATATATAGTGTTACAAAACAAATAAACATTTAAAGCTTTTATTTGACTTTATCAATTCGAAGCAGCTTCGAAAAGAAAAATAGAAAGAAAGAAGAAGAAGAAGAAGAAGAAGAAAAAAAAACTAAAGATAAATATTTTTACCCCAAGCAAGTCACGAGATTCGAGAAAAACATTTCAAATTATCTTACCCATATATATATACATATATATGTGCATGTGTGTCTTTCGATATTAATAAATACATATTATTAATGCAATCAACGATTGGTCAATTCAGATAAAAATAAGAATAAGATCAATGCTAAAACTTTGACATATATATTATTATTATTATTATTATTATTATTATTATTATTATTATTATTATTATTATTATTTATTCGTAACAGAAAGCGATGAATAGAAAGCAAAGATAGAAAAAATTCGTTCGAATGAATGAATGAATGAACGAGCGAATGAATGAATGAACGAATGAATCAATGAATGGTGGATTGCGCAATGGAATAATAAAAGGTTTTAGGTTAATATTCGAATTGATTTAAAAAATAATAAATATATATATAAAAATGGTGTTAAATATCATTGACGAAACATACTTAAAATAATAAAAACTCATCTTCTTGTACGACTTGTGTTTCTTGCATAGCGAGAAGTAGATATTTTTATGATGGGTGCCCGTTCACGGGGGAAACCCGTTGGGAAGCCTAAATATAAAGCCCGTCGAGGGATTTCAACTTCGGTGCCATGTTACGTATCGAGGTCGTGTCATTTTTTTTCTTTTTATTTTTTCTTCTACTTTTCTTTTCTTTCTTTCTTTTTTTCTTTTTCATCTTTACTCTCTTGCACTCTCTCCTCCTTCCCCACCCACCACCTTCTTTTCCTACTCCTTTTACTACTCTTCAGACATCTTGAAAATAACCTATTTTTCCAAACGTTATCGAAAAAAACCTACATAATGATATTATTGCAAGATGATAATTTGAAATACTTCAAACGCGTTATTAACGATAATGCGAATTCAATACGATCCTATGATAAATCGAATTAATGCGAAATATTGAAAAAATAACAAATAATAATCAAAATTTTTTGACGATGATAATAATAATAAATTATGATTAATAAATAATGTCGTAATTAAATGTTATTTTATTTGGGATTAAATTATTTATATGGATTGAATATGAAAATAAATAAAAATATTATATTAATATTTAATAAATAATTTGAAATTATCTATTTAATTTATAAATATGTAGAATATTGTTATAATACTTATATGTAATTTTTAATTGAATCAAAAAATGTTTATATAATTAACTTGATAATAATCTTTTTCATATTTAATTATTTTTACAGACAATCACGATTACAATAAACAAAAAAAAAGTATTATAGTTACCGTTTTGAAAATGTAATATTAAATTTATCATTTTATTATAACTCATCATAGATCGATTAAACAATTAACTATAGTATTTCTTTGTTTTTTTTTTAGTTATGCATTGTTAAAAATACTTCATCCTCGATCGTTAAATAGAAAAAATAATTATTTATTCGATTTTAATGCTACAATTAGGGGACGGGGTGGATAGAAAAAAAGATTTATCTATCACTGACCTAGAACGAAGCAATAAATTTGCTTTTTGTTTTTTATTATACCTGACTCGCGATAAAATTTTCTCGAAGGTCACTATCGACTTTGAAATGCCTTTGCGTAACAGTTGAAACTAACGTGAAGTTTGAACTTTAACCTGGTGAGTGAAAGCTTTAGTTAGAAAATATGCTGCTGCATGCTAAAACGCGACATGAGGATAAATGCTTTGTTTATAAATTGTGCACATTAGAATGAAAGAACAAATTTTCGTAATCGCATTATTATTTTCACATTTGTCAAATCATCGTTAAAAGTATTTGTTTTAATTATTAATTAGTAGTTTGTTTCCAAAAAGAATTTACTTAAACATTTTCTGAAAAGTGAACACAATTATCTCTACCTATTAATTATAGTTAATTATTTTCTTTTTTTTTAGGTAGATTTATTTTAAATAAGTAAATAAAATTAATTAATTTGTAATATAGATATATATATTAGGGTGGGTCAAAAAAATAAATTTTTTTTTTTTACAATTGCCAAGGAAAAATGGGTTGCTAGACACCTTAAAACAATTCTCACCAAATATGAGCTCTTAATTTTAATAGGAAGATCCTCCGCATCGCAGTTTTTTATTTTTTTTTCAGTCCAATAGATTAAAATTCATACCTCATTATTTATTGATTGTACAGAAAAATGTTCTAGACGAATTTTGTAAGAAATTTAATGCTCTACAAAAAAGGAATCTTATACTTTTTCCGTAAACCTCACCATTTGAATGATATTGAAGATTTAAATTTGATGATTTTTAGACAAATTTCATTTTTGTTTATGAATTTTATAACTCGACAATA